ATATATATATATATATATATATATTTCTATTTCATTTCAGTTATGGGTTTAGTTTTAATTACTAACTAAAATAACCCTGGTGTTCATTCAAGTATTATTATTATTATTATTACTATTTTAGTTTTGTTTTTATTTAAGTTTTTTTAAATATATATTTTAATTCAGTTAACATTTCATGGTTTTAGTTTTACTTAATTACCTAAAATAACCCTGGTTCAAGCTCAGATTTTAGTCTTTGGTTCTGTGTAAATGAAAAGCTATGCATGACCATCAACACATATCGCAACACCATCTTCACAGTGTAGATGCGAGATTTAAGTCTGGTTTGTTTAATTCCGTGTCTGTTTTAACAGCGAATGCCACAGATTCATGTGTGTAAACACACGGCTCCTCCATTTGCTCTCAGTGTGACCCAAGAAGGCCTGCTGATCATCAAACCAGCGCTAATCTCAACATCCTCGCCTTCAGCTCTCGTACTGATCCCGCACTGTCGGAGTGTGATCGGATGGAGTGCACGGATCAAACTAAAGGTCACACGTAGATCAGTTCATCAACAAACAAGTGCATCAGTACCAGGCCTAGTTTAAAAACTCCCTCCATGCAGCACTGATTGTAAGAAACTGGTTCAAAAATGCCACGAGCAACAGGCAGATTGCATAAATGCGGCTCACTATCTGTCTGCAGATGACCCTGTCTGTCTGTCTGTCTGTCTCCGGCAGTATCAGTGTCAAGGTCCAGCCGTCACATTTGGATCTGTAAGGTTGCAAAGTGTTATGCACATGCTGTGACCGTATGAATTTGCTGGCATGTTTCTACTGTACTTCAGCTCTCTCTCTCTCTCTCTCTATATATATATAGTGGCACGTGAGAGAGTATGTTGTTGAATATTGAACGGTCTCTGTTTAAAGCTGCTACAGCTGCAAATGTACCTTGAGGCATCAACTAATGTATGATAAATTACTAGTGTAATTTACTGTACATTAACCTCTGACAAAACCTTTCAAAAACATGTCCACCCCGAAGCCCTAGTTAACAGGGAATGTTCTCAGAACGCTCTACATTAATAGAACATTTGTTTAAAGTTAAAAAATGTTCAAAACATTAGCACAAAAACATTTTGCTACATTTTCCCCCCTGAAACATTGGCTGGATGTTCATCTAAAGTTTTTTAAATGTTGCCGCTTGTTTCAGTTGCTACTCGTCACCTAGACGACCACCGGGACCAGACCACAGGAACCAGATGAGTCCTCTGCACAGTCTGACTTTGTTGCAGCCTAGAATTAAACTGCTGGTTTCGTCTGGCCAGAGGAGAACGGAACACTATTTCGACACACTATTTCCATTTTTAATACTGTGAAGCTGCTTTTTTGTGTCGCAATCGTCATTGTAAAAAGCGATAAATAAATAATGGTGACTTGACTTCAGAAGAATGTTCAGAGAACATTCAAAAGTAACATTTCTAGAATGTTCACAGAATGTTCTAGCAAGGTTATGAACAAACGTTCTTCCAGTAACGTTAATAGAACATTCGTTCAAAGTTAATGTCCTCAAAACGTAACTATTTTTCCTGTTTTTTTGTAAATGTTGCTACTTGTTTCAGAATGTTCAGAAAACATTCAAAAGTAGCTAACATTCCCATAATGTTTGCAAAATAACAACAGAATATCCCCTTAACGTTCAAATGACCAAGATAAAAAAAGACGTTTTGAAATAACGTTTGTATAACTTTATGGAAATGTTAACAAAACGTTCTTAGAACATATTTTGTTAACTGGGACTAATAAACTAAAACGATTTGTTAAAATAATTGTTTGCCAATGTAACGATTAAGCACATTTGAGAAAAGCGGGTTTTCTTTTGATTCTGAGATTAAACGCAACCCGGAAAGGACTGACGCTCAAGTGCAACAATGTAGCAAGAAAGAATGATTCGATCGCGCCAAACCTCAACACTTCAAGAATCATTTGTGCTACACTGTAACATTTGAACAGAAGCTTTGGCGCCGCGCGCTCAGGCGCTCTCTCTGCTTCACCCGCCGCGGCAGCGAACACTTAAACACTGATGTGACATCAGACACAGTGAGAAACAAGATGATGACGCGTCCGTTTAGGCGGCGACAGATCTGCGTCGCGAGCCGCTGCCGCGCACACAGAACGCGTGCGGGTGTTTAAAATCATCTAAAACTAAAACGCTTCGATGTTCAAAGTTGTACTTCTTAACACACCATCTTAAAACGCAGCGGTGAAAGACGCCAGTATGACGCACCGCGAATGGAACGCAACGAAAACGCGTCCTCCTGTAGGCTATACAGGAGGTTTGAGAGCTGGGAGATATTACATCCTTCACTCTTCAAGAATCCAGATCCCTCGATCGGTTTTCAAAGCACACGTGAACGCATCCAGACCGTCATGATTAAACACACTGAGCACATTCTCTTCAAGGATGCGTCAACACACCGCGACGCGTTTTCTCTTATAACGGTACATCCGGGATTAAAAGTGAAGGTACATTTAGTTCCTAAAGCAGAAGAAAGCATTATATCTCGCCTTACCTTGATCATGAACCACCGAGCCGCAGCAGCGCGTCCCTCTCTCTAGCGTGCTCCACAGAGCTGCAGTGAACGCGCCTCTACCGCAGCGCTGATGGAGACACGAGTGTGTGTGTGAGAGTGTGTGTGTGTGTGTGTGTGTGTGTGAGAACTGGGTAACACTTAAAACAGAACCACTCAATACACTTTCTACACGAAAACTAAAAGTGTTTAGCTTTGCACTTCCTCATTCAGGACTGATCGGTATTAAATGGTTTTCTATTGGAAACCACCGCGGGAATAAATTCCATAGGTTTTACAGAAGACGTATTGAAGGGTTAGACAGACCTAATGCATTAATGGATGCCTAGGTTAAATAATTTATATACATCAAGTACTCAAAAGCATACTTGAGTATTATTATTCCTCGCATAACTAGCTTGTCTATTAATAATTTGTTCAAACTGTTTGAGGATTTGTGATTTACCTCTCTAGGAAATATTGTGTCTGCCCTTAAGACGATACATTTACACTTAGCTAACAAGTGTTCCAAGAACGTTTACGAAAACATTAGTATTTTTGAATGTTCTCTGAACATCCAGTTTTTGAAATCTATTAAAAACTCTTCTTGGTTAGAAGAACGTTAAAGAAACATTTCATTTTATGTTTTGCAAACGTATTGGGAATGTTACTTTTGAATGTTCTCTGAACGTTCCAAAACAAGCAGCTACATAAAAAAAAAAAAAAAAAAAAAACAACACTTAAAGGTTCATCCAATTAAACACTTTCAGAAAAAAAAAGTTCTAGAAACGACACGTTTTTGTGCTAACATTATTCAAGACAAGCTAATGTTCCCGTAAGAACATTTCTTCATCACTTTGAGAGAAAGTTGCCAGAAAGTTGCGAAAGCATTCCCTCTTAGCAGTGAAGTTACGGAGTGTGTTAAAGTATCATAAAAATCATTCATGCAGCGCAATGATTAACAGATACTGTATAATGGTGTAACGTACAGTATTTTGATCTTATCTGAAAACGGTCTGCTGCCTGGATGTTGTAGTTAGTTTTTTTCGTTCCATTACGTTGTCTGCAAGCCAAACAATCTGAGAAAAAGTAAGAACTGGAACAGCACATTATGCAAAAGACCTGTATGATAATCATAGTGGAACTCCAAACAGCATGACGGGAAACAAGCTGGATAGGTGAGGACACGATGCTTTAAAAAAACACGTTATTGAGCTACTGACAAAGTTGAGTGAATTGTTTCTGTGGGGCCACAAGACAATAGAAACTGACCATTCAGTTAATATAACACAAATACTGGCGCTATTATTCAATAAGATGACATTTTAGCTATTATCTCTTAAGGCAGAATCATGTTTAGAATATAAAGCTAACCAAATGTAAAGCTACCAACTGGCTTCCTCGAGGCTGTTCTTTATTTACATGCTAGAACACGTTCTGGCAAGGTTCTCTCAATGTTCCAGTAATGTTGTTTGTTCAATGTTATCTGGTCTTTAATAATGATTTTAAGCACGTTAACATTATTTACACATTTTTCAAGAAACTTTTTTTTTTTTAATGGAACCTTTTAGTTAGAACATTCTGGTTTTAGAACCTTAATAAGTAACATACCCATGTTTGCAAAATTACGAAATGGAATGTTACTGTAACATTCACATAACCAAGATTCATATATATAAAAAAAAAAGCATTCTTAGAACATTCTGTCAACATTTTTCAAGAAACTTTTTTTTTTTTTAATGGAACCTTTTAGTTAGAACATTCTGGTTTTAGAACCTTCATAAGTAACATACCCATGTTTGCAAAATTACGAAATGGAATGTTACTGTAACATTCACATAACCAAGATTCATATATATAAAAAAAAAAGCATTCTTAGAACATTCTGTCAGCTGGAAAGGTTCGTCAGCGCACAAACAAGGCCAACTGTGTGCTTCAGAACGAGGGCGTTTAATTGCAGATGACAAACTGGGGTGCACAGACCGACCAGCAGGGGTGCGCGAGAGAATGAAAAAGTTTGGGAACCACTGTTCTAGAGGAACACGCCTGCGCTGTTACTTTAAGGAAGCACACTTTCTGACCTCCATACTAGTACAGACCTGTTACTGCAGGCCCAGCAGTGGGTCCTACCTGGGAATATATAGAGCTTCATGTCAGTGTAGTGTCTGTAGGTCTGCACATCAGCGTATAATGAACTAAATGAGCAAATGTTAGTCAAAAGTGCATTAACCACAAGGATGGACACCTGTTTATGTGCATGTACTCAAGGTGTAATTATAGCAGAAACATTTTCTCAGTAACAATGTTCACACCCGTATTTTCATTACACCCCCAGGACTACTTCCCTAAACCATCCCACTCACGATCTGAAAGAATACGAAGTTAAAACCTGTTTGAACAAAAACAAAAGTATCTTTTTTTTTTTTTAAGTGGCTTCAGTATGAAAAATGGATCACATCTGAAGTGTTTTGAAAAGAAAATGCTAAGCACCTAAATAAAGTGGTTTGCACTGTCTAGTTGTATACCTGACCCATATCCAGGGATCAGATTTCATTCAAACATTTCAACACAATTCAGAACAAGCCAAGGCACAGTTCAGAAAAAAAACGACCTCTGCTGGTCAAAACATGTCATTGCAAGTACTTAAGACTTTTAGAGGGGTTCAATGGCGCCCTCATGCGGCCACTCAGATAGGATAAATACAGTACGTCATTCGCTTCACTGATCTATACACTGACATTATATTGCAATCGCTTATTAAATCGAATTTGCCTGCCTGGAAACTTCTTAGAATTACTGGAAGCAATCTCTATTCTACACTAAAATTCCTATTGGACAGACATTTAAAATAGTTACAAGCATTAGAATTATAATTTCTTCATCTGTGGGACTTTATATTCTCAACTACAAACAGAAAATGTGTACAGGACAACAAAACAAAAGACATCTAGAGTGAAAAAAATTTATTGATTGGCAAAAATATTCTGTAAAAGTAAATCTGAATATATTACATCAGGTGGCCCACATCAATCATGAATAATTATATGTGGACTCAACTGCATCAAAGGTCAAAGTACAATGAAGGAAATGCATCAAAGGTCAGGCAACAGCAAGACCCGAATAAACTTGAGCTGTAAACAAGCTGCAATGCTCTGGGCTACAAAAACACAAAATGCACAAGTGTACCAATTTCTATAACATTTGAAAGGCAAAACGGACTTACCTCTCAGTCCAGATGTTGATGAGGGAACAGGAACCCACAATGTTGACGTCTGTCCACTTCACCAGCAGAGGATGCAGTTTGAAGATCCACTAGAATTACTCCAACATTGAACTTGCTCTGATTATAGTGATAAACCATCAAATACACCAACAAAGGGCCACAGGCTCAGGCGAGTAACTGAGTTTACATGAACCTTAATCTTTCATTCAAACAGATGCGAAGTGACCAATGCATAGGTCACGTCACTTGTCAAATACCCAGAAGTACATCTCTCAACTGTCTTCAAAGTCTCAAAATAAAGTGTATGAATATTTACAGTAAGCAGAGACAACCTTGCAGACTTGCATGTGGAAACACGGCTTATTACATCACTAGGAAAAACAGCTGCCATAAGCAGTCTACATAATGAAAATTGGAAACTCTGTACAACGAAATGGTGGAACAAATTTGCATAAAAGCTTAAAGGAATAGTGACCTGAAAATGAAAATTTGCTTAAAATGTACTCGCCCTCAGGCCACACAAAATGTAGAAGTGTTTGTTTCTTCATCAGATTTGGAGCAATGTAGCATTCCATCACTTGCTCACCAAGGGATCCTCTGCAGTGAATGGGTGCCGTCAGAATGGGAGTCCAAACAGCTGATAAAAACACCACAATAATCCACTCCACTCAAGTCCATCAATTAACATCGTGTGAAGACAAAAGCTGTATGTTTGTAAGAAACAAAATGATTTTTATCGGCAGTTCTCATTCTGACGGCACTCATTTACTGCAGAGGATCCATTGCTGAGACAATGATGCTAAAATTCTCCAAATCTGATGAAGAAACAAACTCATCTACATATTGGATGGCTTGAGGGTGGGTATATTCAGCAAGTTTTCACTTTTGGGTGAACTATTCCTTTAAATTCTAAATCTAGCAGAACCAAACGTAAGAGACCTTTTGAGCGACAAATTACAGTAAATCCTACATATATACACACATATGAAGATTAGATGTATACACAAAGCAATGCACACAATCTGCAGCAGGGATGTCAGATAGACATTACAAATGCAGAATATTTTGCACTTTATCATTTACTAACCATAAACTATTCATTATTTTGACTCAAAAACAAAATTGAGCATGTTTCACAGATTTGAATAGTATAGCTCCAATCACAATCAAGAAAACCAATGAAAAGTTATGGAAAATTTAACCTTGCAGGAACTGCCAATCAATTTGGAATATGAACAGGAATTAACAGATACTACACAAATTAATCCATATTGTATTGAACCTCTTAAAATTAAGTAAAATTGGAAAAGGCACAATGGCACAGTTTTTATATTAAGTAAAGACGTCAAACAACCTGAAATGTGGTTCTTAAACCAATTATCCTGATGTCTAAGTAGGAAAAGTTTTGGAAATAGCAATTCTGAACAAATAAAAAGCAATGGCTGGCTAAATGTTTAACCCAGTAACCTAAACTAGCACATCAAGTATGAACAAGCAACAAGTACACACTTTAATTACAACACATTCCATTTAATAATCAAGGCAAAAGACACTTACATTATATGGACGAGGGCAAAAGGGAAGAAACATGAAACCAAAAAAAAGAGGATCCTATAAAAACAAATCTAGCTAACTGACAATTTACAACATTATAGCAGTGGGAAACTCGAACAAGCAGGCAAACAATTATTTCGCTGAACTGACTTTAGCACACAGCTACTTCCAAATAAAAGTAACAAATAAAAAAAGAGCTGTCGGGAATTAAGAGAGAGTATATAATATTTTACAGAACTCTACTTTAGCTCTGCAGTGTGTGTCCGGAGTCCGGCGCTCTCCGTGACGCTGTCAGATGAATCCACGTTGCTCCTGACGTCTCCTCCTCCTCTCTTGCGTTCAGCTGAA